GCATAGCTGAACTAAAAGAAAAAAGTTTACGCCAAACACAATGAAAGAAATTGTAGGAAGACACCTTTGTCTTATCTAATGGCTTTTATTATTCTTATTCCTATCATTATTGACGGGGCAATTGCAAACGTCCTGAGCTACGCATGTACCGATGGTAGCTCGTGTTTCAAGGGTTGTATTGGGTAACTTCACCTAAATTTCTCATTCCAGTTTCTTAAAATGGTGTTATTAGATCTGTGATTGTTTTTAACATCACGTTCATAGAAGAGTATGTAAATGAAAGTAAGATGCTGGCATCAATGATTCGCCTATGGAATTGAGGAAGCTGCTGTGGCCTGACAAATTCCTTCATGTTACCACAATCCGCATTCACTAACGTAATGAACACACTTGCATGATAAACTTCAGTCGTCAAAATTAAAATTTTTTTTTCCCTGCGTAATAAATGCACCCCCTACTGCTGCAGTCCCGCTAACCGACACCTTATGCCTCCTTCTACCCTTTGGATCTCTCCCGTTTTTAATATTATACCGACCCCCCTCGGCCACCTCGACTTGCCCCCCCCCCCCTTCACCCGTTACCACGTGCCGTATTGTTTTTCTTTCTATAAAATAGATAAAAAAGACGATTTCCATTTTTTTATCTGTGCACCACAGCGAGGTTTAGGAACAGTACCAGTGTAGAGACATCACAGCTGATCAGCACACAGTGAGCCAGAGTGAGTGAAGGTCACGAAATAAACTGTCTATGCCAACCTACAGTCGCTTCCTGCAAATAGGAAACTTTAAGGCGCAAAGACGTGCACGCGATTTTCGAGCGACAAAGACAAGATTTGCTGTCGCGGAGGGTCATTCATCGCTATCGTGTCGCAAGTTTCTGGAAGACAAGGAAGAAAATTTCTTGGCACCCACCCCTGATTGTCGCTTCGTGTGCTCTTCGGGCATACAGGAACTTCTCATGTGCAAGGCGCTGACCGTATTTTGTCGTTAATCTTGTTATGGATGAATTGCTTTAATGCTTCAGGTGTAGCTTGCTGCAATGTCGGTTACTTGCTATAATTCTCAATGGCGTTGTTACAGTTGTGCGAGGTTGCCCCGTTGTTGGCAAAGTGTGTAGTAATGTCGTAGCGCACGCTTCTTGGCACCCCTCGAGATCACAGCAAGTGCACTGTTGCCATTTACCGATTGTGAGAAAAGATACCCGCAAAACGCTGTTATGGCGTGCATGGGTGGTGCAAAGACAGCTTGCAGAAGATAGCGCCATCAACCACCAAAGATGACTAAAGCGCAACAAATTAAAGAAGCTGTTTCCAAACAGTGTACGCATATGTCAATTGTGAAAGGCTAAGCGATCTAACTTTTTTTTGCATTACCGCATTTTTTGCTCATCCTGAAAAAGTTACCATAAAATTTGCCCTGCATAATAAACGCACCCCCAGCTTTACTTCGATTTTTCGAGAAAAAAGGTACGTTCATCATGCGAGTAAATACGGTAGTTGAATGCATAGCTTGAACGCTACCCCCAGCTTTCATTGCAAGCGTATGAGAACTTCCGTCAAGCTGCAAATATAAGAGGCCAGAGAAAGAAAACACCAGCAAGCATGTTCCCAATTGTGTTAAAAAGAAAAGAGAAAGAAGACAAAGGAAATTTTGCATAAGGGCTTCATTCTTGAAACATTGTTGTCACTTGTTGGAAAGGCAAGGTGCACAGAATACGCGAGTAGTAGTTATTTTTTTTTTTTTGTCGAAAAGTATATTTTAGAGGTGTGCAGATAAGGTGCAGATGCAAATCAATAGTAAACGCAGCATTCTAGATCGACCTAATCCAATCCAGTCCTAAGTGGCTTGGGCTGTAGCCGTTATATTGAACTAGAATATACTTCAGAGGTGGAACCGGCTGGACTCTCATGTCATCCTTGTACACGGATGTTGCAAGATAGCGCTACTTCTACATTTTCTAGCAGCTCTGGCTGCATTGTCAGACTGTCGTGGGCTCCTTCAAACTTGCAGCTGCGCCCCGCCGCGGTGGTCTAGTGGCTAAGGTACTCGGCTGCTGACCCGCAGGTCGCGGGATCGAATCCCGGCTGCGGCGGCTGCATTTCCGATGGAGGCAGAAATGTTGTAGGCCTGTGTGCTCAGATTTGGGTGCACGTTAAAGAATCCCAGGTGGTCAAAATTTCCGGAGCCCTCCACTACGGTGTCTCTCATAATCATATGGTGGTTTTGGGACGTTAAACCCCACATATCAATCAAAGCTTGCAGCTGCGATTAACTTTAACTCGGGTGTTTGTTTCCTGGATCTTCCGAACATCAAACAGCCCACTTGTTCACTACCTTGCCAAACGTTTTATTTTGGCTGGATATACATGTATTTTCATATTTATTGCATCTTCTCAGAATGTTATGCCTACTTATTCCATATGAGTGCCTGATATTTTTTTACCACTCGAGGGTTTGTTTCCAGTGCACAGAGTTTTCTAAGCAGGTGTGATTGTCTTTTAATTTGCTTTTGATCATCATGGAAAACCTGGAAAAGTCAGGGAATTCGAAAAAATCAAATTGGTAGACACCCTGCTGTACATAGCTAAAAATGGCACAGTTTTACCACATGGCCAAAGCAGTGAATGCCATAGCATCGAATTGCAATAGTATACAAAGTGAGACTAATACCTGTCACTCGTGGCAACTTAAGTGCACTTTGAGTGAGCGTACTTATGCTCACAGAGTGTCATTTTGGCAGTTCGCTGCTTCATGAGAAAGCGAAGTATACTTTGGAAATGATTGCAGTGGTGATTGAGGGATTTTATCACAACGTATATTTGTTATTTTTGCATCGGTGTCTCATTCTCGGACTGCATTCTCTTTGTGGATGTAGCACCAGTGGCATACGCCATTGTAAATGACTACAGAACGACTTGCCTACACATGTGCAAATGTGCCTGGAAGTAAACAATGCGACGGATGCAGCCATTATACAGCATGTGCTGCCGCATCCCCCTAGCGGATGTTGCCGTAAAACTGCCTTACGGGGAGAGCAGCATGTTTTTTTTGTTGTATTACCACTTGTTTTAATAGATAGCAGTGTTCTGCATAACAAAAACAACGGTTTAAATATAGTATGAACGCCGCTTTAGATAACAATGTATTTCTGTACAAGCCACTGGTGCTGAGGCTACACACTTCGTCGCAGCCGTTGCAGTGAAGTGAGGTTGGGGAACACACTTACCAGCAAGTGTACTTTGCAGCGAGTGACACTAAACTTTCTCGTGTGACAGCGTGCAAATGACACTCGTGGTGAAATGTACTCGCTCAAAGTGCACTTAAGTTGCCACGTGTGACAGGGGTATAGCACCTAATTCATTTGGATTCTATCTCACGTAACTATTCAAAATGCTAGTGTAAAAAGTACAGCCTCTTAGGGAGAGCAAGTCTTTTTGCAGTCTCTCCGCAATGAGAGAACAGCTTATAGAAGTGTGTAGAGCTACCTCCTGATGGCTGCCAAGCTAGTGGCATTCGCAGGCGATTGCAAGTCAGGGTTTAGAAACAAAGAAGCAGACAGTTGCTGCTCAAGTGACATCCCCCTCTCTCCATCCTCTACGTCTTTTCATGCTCGTTGAAAACAAGTAGGGTGTTTTTTTCTCTGCTTCTATGGTGGGCCTCCCTATTGTGGTAATGTTATCACATGCGCCTTCCGAGCGACGAAGGTAGGCTGGCTCGTTGGATCATTGCCCCCACTTGTGAGTTTTTAGCGACATGTAGAGCATACGATACGGATGGATATTATGAATTTGGACTTTACACGGGACATGACAGCGACAACAATGGTGAAAACCTGTCGAGAATCCATATAATAGCTGTTGCAATGATAAGGCTATTGTGCAATTTAGCATGGAGTTTGAAAAATGCAGCATTGCACGACTATTGCTTCATAAATGCTGTGAAATGGGGCTGCATCTCCTCTGAACGCTCTTTCTGACGGCTTCAAACTTGCTCGAAAAGGCCTTTCTGGCTGCTCCAAGCCTGTCGCAAAAGGCACTTTTGCTTGCTTTTAGGACTGCTCCCAAATTCATGTAACCACTATGAGATGAGCAGAAGCTCTAGCCGTTGGTCCTAGGAGTCAACACTACAAGAGACGTGTGCGATGTTCACAGCGAGTGCAGCTCACTATTGTAATCTGATGATTGAGTTTGCGCTCGCAGCTGCCAACTAAAGCGTGATTATATTCCAAGTGATTGTCGACCTGTGAACATGACTGTGAACGAGTCACTAAGCACGAATGTCTACAGCCATGACCTCGCGACGCCCAGGCAGCAGACTACACTGTCCCATAGTGAGCATCAAACTAATGGCGAGGCGTGCTAGAGCAACATAGCGAATACAGTAAATCGGAGGCTTCGAAATGAACTGCAATTGTTTGCTGTTTGTACAGTTATTTCTGAATGAAGGACCTTGCTGAAGCCAGAAACTTAGAAAACGGAGAAGTAATCTTCCAGACGAGCCAAAGATGGTTATGCCCTGTTGCATCGTTGCAGAGCTATAATTTTCTCAGAATGTAATCTAGAATATTTGTGGGCATCTTGTGCAACTTTTTTTGTTGATTTTGCTTTGAAGTATTAAAGATGTTGGAAAAATATTTTAGAATTATTTGATTCAATGGGTACTCAATCTTTTATTTTTTTTTTTTTTCAAATTGCTTCGCATCAAAATTTTGCTATTCACACAGCCCTAGTTCAAACGTGGAATTTACCCACGTTAATTTTGTGATAAAGTGAAGCAGTTTTACATTATATTGCTTGCAGGCCTCATTATCTTGTCTGTGCATAATCATTGGGCTCAGAGTTTGAAAGTGTTTTTCTGACTCAGCAGTGTTCTAAAATACACCTACTTAAATTAGTTTACTGTGTATCAATTCAATATCGTTTAGCTTATCATATTTACAGTTTTGTTCATGAAATATGTATTTAAGATTCTTTAATGCCCTGATTTTTCTCTTGTTCTCAGGTGAAGTGGAAGCTGTTTTCTTGCGGCTTCTTGCGTCATCCTCGTCACCTGAATGCACCTTACAACAGCTCGTCTGCCTTCTTTCCCGGCTATGTGAAGAGGGCATTTCGCTACAGAATGCACTTCTGTTACAAGTGCTGTATCAATCTGCTGAATTTCTGCACTCATCTCGCAGCCCTGAACTTCATGAAGAGATACTGCGTAAGAAACTTCCTATGCTCCAGCTTATAGCAGCCATTCTACTGAAAAACACATTTGATGAGCTGTTGACTGACTCTGTTATGCAGGGAGTATAAAACTGTGCTGCAATTTGGTGAAAATGCTAGCAAAGTGATAACTTGTTCTTTTCTTTGGTAGTTTGGTGACTGTGTTGTGCACATATTAATAGCCTTTAAGTGACAGTCTTGCCTTGTACCATGAGCTGAAATGATGGTATGAATGTACCAATTGCTGTTGCTGGAGTTAAAAATGAACCTCCTGTGTAGCCTTGCATATTGGCAGTTAGACAATATAGACGACTTATAGCGTCAGTGCTTATACATTCAAGCGCTATTAAAGCAAAGTTGCAACTCACATGAAAATACATTTGTCATATCTGAACATTTGTCATAAAGGTTTATTTCTAACACTACTCTATTGGAAAACTACTTTTCATATTTGTACTTCGTTATAACCGATGTTTCATTATATCAGGGCACGCTATATTGAGGTTTGAGTAAAGTGCACGACAGCTTACCATGTAGTCTTTTTCGACTCCTGTTTACCTTTCTATAGAAAAGCATTTTATTTCACTGGATTACCTTAGAGTCCCCTGTTGGGGGTGTTACATATGGGGTATGTGACGTGTCGTTGTGGCTGTCAAATAAAAACGCCAGGCCTGCGCGGTAGGCATAGCACAGTCACAGCAAATGCTAGAAGAGTGGCCTTTCAGAGCCTTTTCAAAACACTCATTGGGTAACTACTGCAAGCACACTTGCTTGGTACCCACTAGGGCATTAATAATAAACTTTTGGGTTGTAAGCTGGCATTCGCTATGCTATTTTTTGTCATTCTTCTGAGAAGCGTGGTATCTGCGAAAGACTTGCTAGGAATTTTGTGCCAATTGCCCATGCAGTGGCTGACGATGATGAGGAATTATGGCAGAAGTGGGTATGCGCCACAGTTAATAGGGAAACAAGAACAAGCTTTTGTAATGGGTTAGAGCATTGGACGGCCCACTCATTACGCTAATCGCATTGTGGGACGACTGATTGTTCTTTCGCTGTTGTAAACCGCTTTATAAGTAGTATTAATGCGATTGCTTTCCCGACATCATGCCTGCCTAAGGCAAGTTTGACAACTAGTCACAAGCACTGGAGTAGCTCAGTGGTAGAATATTGGGCTGGCACCGAGCGGACCCAGGTTCGAGCCCCACTGATCCATTGGTGCTAAGTCATGCCTGCCTAAGGCAAGTTTGACAACACATTACAAGCACCGACGTAACTCAGTGGTAGAATATTGGGCTGGCACCCAGTGGATTCAGGTTCAAGCCCCACTGTGTCATTGGTGCAAGGTTTTTTTTCTAATTTCGCGCGATGTGGTTACGGACACCGGCAGGTCAAAACATGTGCATCTTTTTCTCAGGGCCACTAAAGTCACAAACGCCTGCCTAAAATTATGCCCCTGAATTAACAGTGGTCGTGCGTACATCCTAAGTAATCTATGATGTTTGGTGCCGACACAACTTCTGTTGTGCAAGTCCGCCCCTGTAATGTAGCGTGAAACACGCTCTTACAGGGGCTCGTGACATCTATTCCAATCTGCATTGTGAAACTGTGGCGGCGATTCATCAGCGGGCGTCATCCATTCCAGAAACGCCGATGATAGCTCGTCTGAAGAGTTGAGTGGCACGTACTTAGAAAAATTTTCACTAACAACTACACGCGTACACGCTGCCAGAATGTGTGCCTCGTCTACTTCTGGGCATCGTGCGCGGTGTAATTTCCAGCGCTTCGAGTCCACAGAAGAACACGTGTACGGTGGAAACGCGTTCCCGCTTTTCTTTTAATATACTTTATTTATGGATCTTGATCCACAAGTTCATTTTCGTAATGCCTTCCACCAGCACTTCCACGTTTGTAATTGCTGTTGCGGTAAAAGCTCCTAAAACACCCTGCCAATTCGAAGTCGAGATTGCTAGGGTCTGTATTCAAAATTTTCGCATGCCTTTTTTTAATGTCATCTCATTATTAAAAGCATGCTTCCTGTTTGTAGCAGCCAGAATTCAGTTTTAATATTGCTGGTGGCTTTGGGGTTGGAAGGCCCACGGTGAAGTGGCTATGCCTTGTTACACATCTGCCTCTCGCTTTCCAAGCTCAATAGATAATGGTTGAAAAAATTAAACATCCCATCATTGCAATCATTGCTTCGTTTTTTTTTTTTTGGTGGGAGGGGGCGGAGCGTGCGTTGCTTAAAGGGCGCATTCGCGAGCGGGCTATTTCGAGGCTTAATGAGACATACTCGTAAACTTTCTGTGCTACTCTAACATGTGCTTTGCGTTTAGATAATTGACAGTGCAAAAATGCTTCGGTAATTGGAGTGATCATTGTCCCTTTAGCCAGCGTTCATTTGAGTTATGCGACATCATGTCCAAAAGATACTATTTGTGAGTTTGACTTAGGCTCTTGAAAATGAATGCAATATCAACAATCTGTTCACATTGAGAGTACAAGATAGAAGGGTACAACAGCAGTCTTTAATGCCTGTTAAATTAGCGCGAGTGCCAGTGATCACACCCAAAGTTCATAAAAAAGCCCCCTCCGCTTGTGTTACTAGTTCTTTCCTGCTTTTTGAAGATGGGTGGCTCGTTCCTTTCTGCCTTAGTAACAATCGATGGCAGGCCTGGCACACGGAGTGATGCTATCGCATCTGCACTCCGGGAAAAGGAGGTAAGTTGGCTTTTTTGTTGCGATAGCAATTATATGGACAGTCTTGGCTGTTTTTGCTGTCGCCGCTGCTGCCCTCTTTCACCACTTATGTATACGTATCTATATGGGGAACGTGCATTGAGCCGGTGGCGCCGCTGCGCGGGAGGAAACGAAACGAAGTGGCGTGATACGTGCAGCAGCTGCTCCACAAGCCGAGTCGTGTCACGCTGGTCAAGGAGCTTTCCAATGTCGCGACATCTTGTGGTATGTATGATGCGAGAACTGCGGGAGATGTTTTTGGTTGGAACATTTCCTTAAATTGCACGCCTTTTGTGTACAGCTTTAGTTGCTTGTTGGTGGGCGACTTCCATTTGTTTGGTTGTGACGTCTTTGTGACGGACTCTTCACTGTTGACAAAAGCTACAACTGCTGCTGCATGCTTGCAATGGCCTTCAACACCACCCCTACAGTTGCAGTGAGCTCTGGTGATCATCCTAGTTGCATCAAGCTGAAAAAGAGAATACTCAAGTTACACCCGGCCTACGGGCAGTGTGATTGAAAAAGACGCGTTTTTGTTGTTACCTGTCTTAAGTAATTAATGCTGAAAAGTACACACATGCATATTACAGAGCGCGTGCACTTAAAGTTACATCAACCAACAGTTATCTCGCAGTTCGCGGTGATGACCATACAATTTACTGGACGCCGTTGCTTGGCTGTACGTGCGTTACTGTTACGCGGACCGTAGTTCAGACAGTTTAATACGTGCCTAAAGGCGAGCATTATTCATTCACGCTCGTTCGCAGGTAAAAAATGTTACTCACACACCCTACGTATAAGCAAACAGCGTAGTTCGTAAACGGCAACGGTAAAGAAGAAGAGCCGGATGTGTCGCACAATGGATAGTAGACCGCGCGATTCTTTTGATGCACCTGTATTTCATTTGTGCCTTGACAGCGCTGCGCATGCAAGCGGTGCCACGCCACGCTGTTTTCATTTATGCTACGCGATGGCTAAGATATCACTTGCAAAGATGACACGTAACAGATTTACTCAATCACTCATGCAGCCCGGGCAATGTCCACAAACAGAACTGCAGCATAGTAAGGTTCGAACAATCGTTACGGCATCACTAAATGCGAGACGGGAGGCGATTGTACAAACTAGCGCCGATCGCACTCGGTTGCCCTCAAGACAACATCACGCTACAGCACACGTCTCACGTTAATGTCATCGTTTGCTCGGTAATAAGCAGGTAAAATGATGAAGAAGCGTTCGCACAAACCTTGATGATGACGGCGTATGCCTCCTGGTTCACGTTGGCCTGTCGCACACACCGCCCTTTTAATATACTCTGTCCAACTGTGGTCTCTTCAGTCACGTTGAAAATGTGCCTGCAGTGGCGTAATTTGCCTCCTTTCTCTTCGTTCGAGGCTCTGAAAAATCGTGCGCTGTTTACTTTCTTGAAGCCGGCGCACTTTATAATACCAGTAGCCATCGCGCGCACGCACGTCCGTAGAACGCGGGCGCAGCAGAAGGGGAGACGAGAATGCGTATCACATCAGTTAACAACTCAGTGGCCACTTGTGGTGCTCACGGCGCGCTGGCACACTGCATTAGCGCGCCACCTGTAGGTGCCGCACGTTTCCTATATATATGAAAACTCAAGAAAAAAGAAAAGCCCCTGTGCCGACGCGCGCTTATCTCCCACGTTGGGGGGGGGGGGGGGGTAGATGCTTGTGCGCATGCGCTTATTCTTCGGTGGGGAGAACCGTGTGCCTTCGGCTTTCACCGGAACAATTGTGTTAGTTCGTTAGTTGCCGGGCCCAATGCAAAGGCCACTTCGCTGGCTGCACAAGCCCCATTTGCGAAAAGAGCATGCTTTTCATAGACAGCAAAGTATAACTGGGACACTTGTTAGTTTGCACTCATCTGTACTTGTGACGTTTCTTGTATCGTTTTTGTTTAAACAGTGCATTAAATGTCGACCGGTAAACATTGTTTGTTTGCTCTCGTCCTGTGTATGTTGTTTTTGTGCGTCATTTGTGCGTAAGCAGCACGCTGCATGTTTCGATCTGTTGCCGTTCCCAGTGTTACATTCCAAGTTGTTGCTATTGAATTCATAGCTTCGTCCTTGCAGAGAAACTGTGGCTTTTTTATCTCTGCTTTAGCTGCATTCGTTGTCGCCCCGCCGCGGTGGTCTAGTGGCTAAGGTACTCGGCTGCTGACCCGCTGGTCGAGGGTTCAAATCCCAGCAGCGGCGGCTGCCTTTCCGATGGAGGCGGAAATGTTGTA